AAAATTGGCAAAAAACATTTCTAAATATGATTGGTGAATAAAGTTATTATAATTTTAATTTTATGAATTTTAAAAGAGATACATATTTAAAATCACTCACCTTAAAAATATAATAATATTATTTGCATTTTATACAGTAATTGTTTTGCAGATACATCAAGCATATTTTTCACATTATAGTCTCTATTAAATTTTTTTATGTTTCTTGAATATAACATACTTCCCGTTTCCTTGTAGATGGAATACACAAAAAATTCAGCCCTCCTAAAAACTGGCCACTCGATTAAATTCCTGATAATTTTATGTTTTGATAAATATCTCCCTTTTAGTTTTGCTAGGTTGTTACGAGTTTTCGAAAATTGTGTATATATTTTGATAATGTGAAATTTCCTATGTGAACACCATTGCGTATTTCAATTTAGATCTTCTCAACCAATATTCTTCTTATCCTGAGCGAAAAAGTTATTTCTCTCATCTTCTTTTATCCTTTTTGATGCCTTTTGATTTTATACTTATAATGTTATAATTTTATTTTATAAATATTTATTCAAAATGATATAACTTTTTGATGGCTGGCTCTACACGACTTCAATCAATTTCCTCAATCCGGGAATGTGTCATAATTTTTAATTAACAATTTCTTAATAAATATATTATAATTTTACTATCGGTGACCAGCCGGTGCACGGTGCACGCGGCGAGCGGAGTCGAGTGGCGCGCGCACCGACTGGCAGGGTCGCCATGTAATGTCGGGAGGTTCGGGGAAAAAATAATACGTCTACTGGTCTTGAATCTAGGTTTATTACTGACCCAATGATTATTAGGCTATCATATATTTATAGCTACATGAGCATATACTACAACTCTACGCATATGTAGAGTACAAGTTCAAGTACAAGAAATAATACTAGTTTTTACGAATTTTATCGCGTATATTTAACTTTTAAAATACCCGACGTTTCGAGCCCTTTACAGCACCTATGGTCACGGGGGGCATCCCCCCCGAGCACGGATCCCCCCCATAGGCATGGGTGCTGTAAAGCGCTCGAAACGTCGGGTATTGAAAAAGTTAAATATACGCGATAAAATCCGTAAAAACTAGTATTTCAATGTGTAGTGTTCCCGTATATATAAGAAATCATTAGGTGAAACTATTTACGTATACGCTGTCAGCCTATATCAGGCTGGCGTTACAAATTGGTGGAATCCTACTAATTCTTATTTTATTTTTGTAGAAATTTACACTATCGATAACATGTCCTTAACTAGTAAAGGTGTGCTTTGCAGGCTCATTCAATTTGTAATATTGTTTTTTTTTTTAGGATTTCGTTAATAGTCCACCGCCAAATATTCTTCTTATTGTATGATTTTTTTTAAAAAGAAGTGCGAAAAAAGAGCACATAGTCCGTGTGATGGTAAGTTGTTGACCATATATTAGAATTAGAAAATAATAAATTGGGAAGAATGGGTTCCCAAAAGAAAATATTCCTCTATATACAGCAAGTACTTTGAAGAATGTAGTGCACTAAGGGAAAATTACATCACATTCAACCATCACTTATTAATAAAAACACTTCATTATTCTATTTTTGTAATAGAATAAAGTATGTAGTGAAATTGCAAAATATCTTTAACGAGAGTTCACAATATTTTTACAATAAATTAGTTGATTCGTTTGACGGAAAATAACAATTTTTGTTTGTAATTTTCTTTTTATTTCATAAAACATAATAAAAAGTTCTAAATTAAACCACACAATTACATTTAAGGTCATCCTAGTAAGAAAGTGTGATTACTGCTTCATACAAACTCATTTCTATTTTAATTATGAAATATAGCAATAGGGTCTAATATAATGTTTCTCAAAACTCTAAAAAATTGACATCGTGGCCTTGTTTTTAGAATATGTTGTTGCTATTTAGAATACATTTTCTATCCCAGTTTGGTCTTGTTCGTCATCATCATCATCATCTTTGCAGCCTTTCAAAAGTCCACTGCTCCCCAAACCAAACAAATTTCACAAAGCACGGTCTTGAGTCAACTGCATCCATCGACTTCCTGCATGCTACACTTCGCCGGTACAAGGCTGCCACTCGAAAACCTTTCTTTCTTGTCGGTTGTCGGTTCTTCGAGCAATATGGCCGGCCTATTGCCACTTCAGCTTACTAATCCGTTGGGTTAGGTCAGTTAATCTTGGTTCTACTGCGGATATCCTCATTTCTAAGTTTATCACGCAGAGAAACCCCCCAGCATAGCCTTCCTGTAGCTGTAGGGTTCCTCACACGGTCAGCAGTGAAGCACTCCGTCTCAGAACCATAAATCACCACTGACAATACGCACTGATTGTATAATCTTGTTTCCAAATTTTGTGGTATACCTGGCGAAAAGATGTGTCGTAATCTCCTGAACGCTGCATAACCAAACTGTGGCGTCGGATACTCGTCAACAACTTAGAGCTTAGTACTTTTAACAACTACCGGCATAGGTCGGACATGGACGTTACACATGATTGTTTTGTTCGTGTTATTTTTAAGACCTATCCGTTGGGAGGCACTACTAAGGTCATTGAGCATAGTGCTTAGGTCCTCCAGCAATTCTGCCATAAGGACCATTTCGTCGGCAAATCGAAGGTGCGTGATGTACTCGTCATTGATGTTAATACCGTATCCTTTCCAGTCCAGTAGCTTGAAGACGTCTTCCAATGCAGCGTTGAAGAGTTTCGGGGATATAACGTCACCCTGTTACAGTCGCCTGTTATACCACTTTTCAGTTGAATAGGTTCCGCACCAGAAGAACCAGAGTTCTGTACTCAAATAGCCTTCGTAGTCCTACTCTACAAACATTTCAGCACTTTGATATACAGACAGACAACTTGGCATCACTGAAGGGACTATGATAACAATAATTTGGAGCCCTGATTCCAATCATACGCTTCTTTAGTACGAGTGGTATTGCATGCATTTGGAGGTCTATCTGTTCAGTTGCCTGCGTAATGTCTAAATAATATCTGCTGAAGACTGCAGCTTCATTTCCTGTCTAACAGCAATGAGATTAAGTGTGTGATCGGAGAGTTTTACCTTCTTCTGCGACGGATCTTGCAGAACTTAGATCAACCGCATGGACAGTTTACACGAGCTTGTCATTCATATCATCCAATGCATTGCAGTCTTCTAGGCACTGAAAACGATTTTGTAAAGTATTCGGGGAAAGTTTTCAGAGCTTTGGCTTTGGCACGATGGGAACGGAGCGTTAACTTTATTAGACGTGACCTCTCCAACTTAACGATTAGGTTCAATGTGCATTTCACCATTCGGTGATCGATTTTAGTTTTCACCCTCGCGATCAGTTCAAATCTGGTCGCCATAATAAAGTCAATATCATTTTTTGTTGTACTGTCGGGGCTCGGCCAAGTCTACTTTCTATAGAGCTGCTTCTAGAAGAAAGAATTCATCATAAAGTGTTCCTCTTCCTTCATGACATCGGCCGGCTGCTGACTCCTTGGGCTCCGTTTTCGTATTCCGAATTTTCCTACCTTCATCTCACAGTTCTCTTTTGTGCCTAATATTGCGTTGAAGTCTTCTATTAACACCGTATAGTGGGTTTTGGTGCAATGCATGGCTGTAGAGTTATCGTCATACATGTCCTACACCTCCTCAGAGCTGTCATCATGGTTAAGTATTGGCAGGTAAACCTTCAGGTCGTCATTGTAAAGTAAGATATGGCTATCACGAAAGCAATTTTTTATGTCTTTGATGAATAAAATAAACAGATGAATGTTTATAAAAGACAACGCTCGAAGTTTTATTTGTTATGTAAGATTGGAACCATCTGAGTAAGTCACCACAAATCCCATTAAAAACGATATTCTTGGGTAATATAATAGTGATCCACTTTATCGAAAGCCTCATGGAAATTAGCACACAGCATCAACCGGTATTTCCTCATCCATCCGTATAAATAAGTATGTAGCAAGTATAAACAAAGAGATTGCTTACAGTGGATCGTTTTCTTAAAACCCCCCGTTGTTTCGTTGTTATTATATTACGAAGGGCAGGATAAACAACGTTATGTACTAGTATTTCAAATACTATTGACAATAGGGATAGCAATAATATATAGATGAACGTATTCATAAGGTGTCCAAAAATGAAATATATATATATACAGAATGGGTCCCACATATATGCAATAAATGAAACCACAAGTAATACTAGTCCGTAGAAGTGTAGAAAAATTATATATTAAATTAAAACCCGTAAAATAAAAAAGTGAAATTTTCAAACAAAATAAATATTAAAATAAATCAGTAAAAGTGAACACTCTGTTTAGACAACGTACCTTGACCCCTTGGAAGAGTGACAACGTTGCACGCGGGTGGCACGCCGACAAAAGACACCGCTGTTGATATGTCGCAATACCAATAGTTTGCACTGCGTGGCAACGTCGCTTTTTAATGTTCAAGGATTCAAGTTCATTGAATCATTGACTTAGTGACTCAATTCTATAGAGTGTTAAAATTTGCTTAAATTTAAAACTCTACTTTTTGACCTAATTACTGGACCGATTACGTTCATTTTTTGTATATCTTCAACAAAGGCGATAACAAGTATATGGTTTCATTTATTGCATATATGTGGGACCCATTCTGTATATATATATATATTGAGGTGAATATATGTGCTGATAAAAACAAGGAAGAACAGGACATCTGTTTAAATGAAACGAATCAAGTTCTTTACATCACACATGGTCACGGGGGGGACTGAGGTGTTCGAAGTCCTAATGTCTTAGTTAACCGCGGCTAACTTCAGTTTAAAATTATAATTTTTATATCCTTGGTTTGTGATTTTATTTTATTGATTATAGGGTTCCAAGCAGATGGCAGCACTCGGCCATTATCTCTATTGAAATTTCAATTTCTTGGGGAATATAAAATAAGTACCTATACGCCATAAAATCCGTAAAAACTAGTTTCATTTAAGTAATCATTAAGAGGATACCTGGTCAACAGTGACTTTGATCGGGAACGCGTCGAACTTCATAATTAAGTATTTTTGCTCGATGTTGACCGTCGCTAAGTGTTCTTCCTTGCCCTTCGACCACTCCGCAGTCCAAAAATGGCGGCCTGGAAATGTCAAGTAAAGTAAAGCAAAAACATGTTTTGTTTAAAAAAATTGAAGTGATAAACTTTACGGTCCACCCGATGGGCAAGAACGGGTTATGTCGGACTCGTACCGACTAAAACCCCATGGTGTTTTACCTTCGTCGCATATTGGCCGGGTCACGGGAACGCTTGCGGGAGGACTACTTCTTCCCCTTCCGACTACTCCCCCCCCCCCGAGTCCGATAAACAGAAGCCATGGGGCCAAGAAAAACAAGCACTTGAAAGCACTAGTTTTTCCGAACTCAGCAGCGGATCTGGCATCGCCAGTCTCTATGGACAGTTGCAGGCAACTTCAAATATTTTTCATTTATACTGTATTACCTTTTTTACCGTCTGGAAAAAATAGGGTGTAACATGTGAACGGAGTAAAAGCCTATGGCGCTAACATTTTATAAAAAATAAAAATATAAATTTAGAATTACACTTTAAAAAAATGTTTTTGAAGAATTACTTTACCCTTTGCCCTTGAGCCTGTGACCCTGTGAAGTGACAAGGTCAAAGATACCTACGTTTTATTGCCGTTCGTAAAATAGGGTATTTGAATTTCGATAGGCTTTAATTAATTTATTAACTGAAATCAAAATCTTTGTTTTTATTTTTTTGTAAAATATCAGTGCCATAGGCTTCTACTCCGTTCATATGTTACACCCTATTTTTTCCAGACGGTAAAAAAGGTCATCCAGTATAATATAATAGATGTCCCTTCTGAGGACTGAGATGGCCTTACAGCCTGGACAGACTCTCTTTACCTTCTAGACCGGATTACAACAGTGCGAGTGCGACAAATGTTGCTTGGCAGAAATGGATAAGAAGCGGGTTACCCAGACTGACTTCAAGAATAAAAGGAATTAGTGAAAAGAATTATTTAAAGCACTCATTATACATCTTTGAGTTGTGGCGGCGCTGTCGTCACGCCACAAGCGAAACACATCGATGCCTAAATCGCGCTATCAAAGTTCCGAAGTAAAGCAATATATATAGAATAGCTCCGAAATACCTACCACTTGGAGCGTTGCGTTGGCCGCTCCCCGGGCAACACACCTTGTTCGGTGGGTGATCTCCCTTTTTCCTTCCACGGCCACAGATTTATCATTTGTAAATTAAAGGTCAAATTACAATATTAGTTATAAAACGTGAATAGCCGTGTAATTAGCGGTGTGTAAGTGATATCGTCCCGATATCGTCCCGTGGGTGTTGTGAAAGGCGACGCAGAAAAAACAAAACAGGAGGTGGGCAAAGCAGCAGCAGAGCAGTCTTTCCAATTACAACTTCTTACGTAGTAGAGCCACATTGCAGCTATACTATAGTTGTAGTCCAAATGGATCAGCTCGACCGGGGCAGGACCATGTTCTCACAGAATACCAACGTAAAATAGCAGTGTAATGCTGCTGTGTTTTGTTTGGTGAGTGTAGAGAACCGTAGACCCTTTTTACTGGAATCGGAGCATTCCATTTTAGTCCTCAGGGGTGACAACGCATTTGCATTTTGATTCTTAATTGAGGATAAATGTAGATGTCTATTGGCCACAGCATCCACTTACCATCAGGTGGACTGTGTGCTCGTTTGTTACCCAATGCTATATAAAAACACCTATTTCATCCATCATTACAGTCTATCAAAGTCCAACAGTGGACTTCGACAGACTGTAATGATGGATGAAATAGGTGTAATTATTACACTGTACTACATATCTGTATACATTATACTGTAATATGTATATGCCGGGAAATAGCAACCTGGATTGTTTCCGGGAGAGGGTGCTTGTGGAAGTACTCTTTGCGCTGCGGCCGGGAGAGAGGTCGCCTAAGCAAGGCGTCACCGGCGACGGGACAGCAGACACCAGCATAAATAAGCAACGGTGCCAAAGTCAGGGCTTGGGTTTAACGCCTTCCGAGGTGGTGTAGACTAACGGCCGGGTCTGTCTTCGAATAGCTCGGCTGCGCCGTTACGTCGTGCGTGTAGCAGGGCCTGTGAGTAGGCACATCGAGGGGTCGGATTTTCCTCCCGTACCCTGAGCAACCTGTGAAGCATACGTCCACTGACGGCCAGTACCTACCTTTCCCTTCCTGCACGATTTCTTCTATATCTATTTGTATCTATATAGATATTTATTTCTTCTGTGTACTGACTACACAGAGGAAAAAAATAGAAAAAAAATCTTGAAAGCCTTTGCTTACCTATGATGTTATGTAAAAATGGAAATCTGTCTCCTATTTCTGTGAGCAGCGAAGTCGAGTGAATTGCGTTCAGGTGCGCAATATCTGCTCCATTCTCGGGGATTTCCTGGAAAATAACATTTCCCTATAAATTCATGTTTTCCTTGTGGTGGGTAAAAAATCATTTCGTTCCATGAGTGTCGTAACAGGCGACTATGGGATAGGCGAAATAGATCTTATGGCCTCCGATACAAGTTTTGTATATGTGGTAGAGGCACAGAATACCAGCGTAAAATAGCAGCTTCATGCTGCTTTGTTTCGTATTGCAAGTGTAGAGAACTGGAGACCGGAGATTATTAAAATGTCGTAGTTATTGCCATGTGATATGACATTCCTTCTACTTACACCCATTGAACTCTAAATCACAGACGCGGCGGCGAATCGCTCGTGCTACTATTTTGGCAGTACGTTTCCTCACTTCATTGGTTTCGGGAATCGAGGACGTTAAAATAACCACTCGAATGTCGGGGTCTATATGGCGCATCTGTCGAGCACTTTTCGAAGTACTAAGTAAGTATATTAAAATCATATATCAATGGAAACGTTATTAAATAAGCTATCAGATTATGCATAACAGATATATATATATATATATATATATATATATATATATATATATATATATATATATATATATATGTTACAAATAGTTTGCTATCACTCAACGTCATATTATGGCGTTTGACAGATGCGCATATTATTTGAGACGCCAGAATATGGTGTTTGGACAGACGAGGGGATAAGGTGGGTGTACCTTGAAAGGCCACTCTAACAAATAGAGTTATTATTCGTTTATTTACTAGATAAATGAAACTAACAAATATTTAAGTAATACTTTGTTTTATTACGTAACATATGAACTACTTCTTTTTATTGTAGATTTAATCGCTATTTGTTAAACTTTAGTGTTAAATGACTGATTTATTATAATGACCTTCTAAGAAGCCTTGTTCCTAGCAAGGCCATTTGAGATCCGCTATCCAATCAAAAAAAATTCAATCAATATTGATTAAATCTGTAATTTAAAAAAGTGGTTTATACGTTACGTAATAAAACAAAGTATTACTTAAATATTTGTTAGTTTCATTTATCCAGTAAATAAACAAATAATAACTGTTTATTTGTTAAAGAGGCCTTTCATGGTACACCCACTTTATTTAGGGGTGATAACGCATCTGCATTTTGATTCTTAATCGAAGGTAGATGTAGGGGCCCATGGACTACAGCATCCACTAACCATCAGGTAGACTATGCTCGTTTGTTATCCTAATTCTATCAAAAAAGACGGTGGTATAACTATCTGGGGGCACGGGAGTGCCCCCGCCAAGTCGAGCAAAAATGCGGCACGACCGTACCATCCTTTTCTCGAAGCAGTTCAGGCCATTTTCGACCCCCTATAACTTTGTTGTTGGTAAAACTAGAAGCCTGAATTTTCAGTAACCAAGCAGGCATTGTATAAACACGTTATTTTTTAATTTTTCGCTAAGAAATGGAAAATGTTGTAAAATCGGAATGTTATTGTTTTTACCCCGTTTCGAAAATTGAGTTCTCATCAAATTTTGACGTTTTGAGGTCACAGGAAGCCACCCCGACAATTTTTCGATGGTGTGTGTCGTGTCAAGCATCTGTGCATGTGTGCGTGCGTGCATGCGTGCGTGCGTGTGGATGTATGTAAACCTCTTATAAGTTTTGAACGACTTGACCGATTAAAATACACTAAGTGGATTTCCAAAGTGTTTCATCAAACTTAGATTTCCTATGAATTTTAACTAATTCGGAGCATTAGATTTTAAGAAATCACGAAAATAAAAATTTTGAAAAACTGTTTTCTTGGAATAATTTTTAAACGGCTTTATCGATCGATTCGAAAAATCAATCAGCTTTTAACCTTGAAAAATCACGTCGATTGCCGCCGGTCCAGTCAAACTTGGTTGATTCGTTCATTAGATATCGTTAGCGAAAAATTGAAAAGAAATAATTTTTTTAAATTACTTCGATATTTCATATTCAATGTCATAATTTGGTGAAATTTGGAGCGCTTTGCATTTGAAATTAGCGGGAAGTTCCAGGAATGGCCTGCAGGGTCCACCAATTTTTTTCTTTTTTATCGTTAAAACTTACTTCATTACACTTACCTGAATGTGTGTGTTGACTGTGAACTCGTTTCTCCCTCTGAATCCCCAACTCTTTAATTCCGGGACTTCAGGCACAGTCCACAATGGCTCACGACCTTCGGCGTCGTACCAAATCCACACTGCGCCGTCTACTTCCATTGTGTGCCAAGTCTTGAGGGCGATGCCTTTTGGAACTGTTGAGGAAAATGAAAACGGATTAATTACATTATTTATAACAACAATGTACATACATTGTATATACATACATAAAAGTTAAAGTTACAGCCTATATAAATCTCATTACTGCCTGCACAGCCCTCTTCTCATTTCTGAGAGGGTGTTAGGACAAGGAAGTTTCTGCCGCGCTGCTCCAATGCATGTTGGCATACTTCACATGTCATCGTAACATTTTTTTTCTTATTCCTCAGACATGCAGGTTTCCTCACGATGTTTTCTTTCACCGTATGTTACGTACATTATTATCCCCATTTCTGAGTTTATCACGCAGAGAAACCCCGATCATTGCCCTCTCCATAGCTCGCTGAGCAACCTCGCTTCCAACCGAGCTTCCTCATACGGCAAACAGTGAAGGACCACGTCTCAGATTCATAAGTAATCACTGGCAACACGCACTGGTTGTCCAATCTCGTGTTCAAGTTTTGAGGTATACCTGACGAGAAGATGTCTCGATATTTCGAAGGCTTTGGACAGGGTTTGACATGCAAGTCTGATGAGTAAGCTTCCTGCTTACGCCATCCCCGCCGAATTTTGCAACTGCATATCTGTCTTTCTGAGTGAAAGGTTGATAACGCGTGTTAATGCTGAAGTTCCTCAGGGGTGTATGCAGATGATAGCACAGTCGCAGAGAAATTCATGTTCACTGCAACAAAGACGGAGGGGCAGTGATACGTTCACTCAGAGAGGCTACGGTGGAGCGGATAAATGCGATGTCAAATCTCGTTAGCCAATGGAGTGATGACAATCTGGTCTATTTCAACGCCACCAAAACGCAGGCTTGTCTGTTCTCCGCAAAACGGAGTCCGTTTGATCTGACTTCTACTTTCCGAGCTACATCTGTAGATATTCCTGATCATCTCGAGCTTCTCGGCCCACAGTTGAGTGCTAACCTCAACTTTGGCGCCAACATTGAGTCAAAAGCACAAACTACGGCCAAAAACCTGGGAATTTTAAACAAGGTAATTATAAGGTTAAGCAGCTTCTTCGCGCCTGCCATGATGGAGGTCAAGATTGAGCCCAGTTTTGATTAAAAAAGACGTTGGCAGCATTGGACATCTGTCTGCGACGGCGTTACAGCGTATAAGAGTAGAAAGGTTACAAGATCAATGTTACAAAGTGTGAAAAAGAAGCATAAATGTAGACTGAGGGAAAATATTAGTGGCTTGGATGAATTGTGCATAAATAGTTTAGACTTAGAGACAGTGTGGGATAATGATAAGAAAGCTTTGGTGGATTCAGCAACCGAAGTATAAGGTATAAGTAAGAGAACGAATAAAAGGAAAATTAATACTTTTTGGTAGGACGGTGAGGTACGGATAGAAGTTGAAGCAAAGAAGAGGGCATGGCTAGTTTTACCAGCAACCAAAGCTTTTAATTAAGGTGGTATGAATGATGAGATGTAAAGAAAAGGGCAGCCTTTGGACGACTAAATAATAGAGTAAATAATAGAGAAAAAGTAAAAGAGAATGTATAGAAAGAAGAAAAATATCTGATAACTTCCAGGCAAATATTAATATGTTCTAGAAACACGCAACAACCGCCAGGGGAAATTCAAAATAGCCTTGAATTAATTTTATACGAGACGAGAATGGCTGTACGCTGAATGACGAAGTTTTGAGTTTAAAGAGATGGTTTGAATACCTTGAAAGCGTATTTATGAGTGAAAAGACGTTTGATTTAAATGAAATAGAAATTCAGAAAGAAGTGAAAAGAGGTAGGTAGATAAACATAGAAGAAATAATGTAAGCAATGAAAAATATGGAAGCAGGTAAGGTAGAGTATAACACGAATAAAACTGAAGAGGGAGTGGTAGAAGGAGGGTACCGTAAGACTGGGGAAAGCCATTATAGTCCAAATATATAAGGGAAAAGGGTCACAGCTGAACTGTAAAAACTACCGTGATATCAATACTTGCTAACCACGTTTACCAAGTGTTGATATCACGGTAGTTTTTACAGTTCATCAAACTGTGTGCTAAGGTGTTATTGAAAGAGAGGGAAAGTTTTCAGCTAAAAACCAGAAAGTATTTTGTGCGGTCATGGAATTTAAAAAATAAATAAAATTGAAATTAAACGTGGTAAAGTCATGCTGCAGTTATATTAATAGTATAGTTGTAGCACGAATGGGTCGGATCGACTGGGGAAGGACCACGCTCTCACAGAATACCAGCGTAGAGTAGTAGCTTAATGCTGCTGTGTTTCGTATAGTGAGGGTAGAGAACCGGAGACCCTTTTTACGGGAAACGAGGCATTCTATCTTAGTCCTCACGTATGACAACTCATCTGCATTTTGATTCGTAATAGAGGATAGACGCAGATATCTATAGGCCACAGCAACCACTTACTATCAGGTGGACTGTGTGCGCTTTTGTCACCCTATCCTATAAAAAAGGCTTATGACAGAGTGGACAGGGTTGTGTTATGGAAAACTTTGGACTCATTTAGCGCTGGGTTGATACAGGTATTAAGGTCTTATGTACTTTAGTGCTTGTGTCTGGATCAATGGGCCTATTTGGCCTCGTTTAACATCCATAAAGGTGTCAGACAGGGCTGTGTAGCTGTGTTCCCTGTGGCAGTTCAACCCATTTATGGACAGCTGTTTGAAAAGTTTGAAAGTTGAACAATGCGGGTTAAGAATGGGTGAGTTAACCGTAAAATGCTTTTTATACGCCAACGATGAAGTCATTATTGCGTCGTATCATGAAAATAAAAAGAAATGAAAGTGAACGCAAGTAAGATGAAAGTGGTGTTTTTAAAGAGAAGAAAGTATAACGATGTGTGAAATAAAAATAGACGGGGAGCTGGTGGAGCAAATGGGGATGAGTTTATGTATTTGGGATGTGTATTTAGCTGGTAAGGTAGGTAAGATAAAGATTTAGGAAGACGAGTAAATGTAGGAAATAGAGTAAATGGGGCTCAACACTCTGTTGTGGGAAGTCAGAATGCGTTAAAAAAGGGACGTATGGCAATTCACAATGGTGTGTTAGTTTCTACATTAATGTAAGGAAGTAAAATTGGGTATGGCTGAAGAAGCACGAGAGTAGTATAGTATATTGTGGGTATATTGATATTTTGTGTTGAACCAGCTAGCGTTTATTTTATTACATGGTGGCAGCGGTCTTGAAAATAAATTACATATTCAATGTAAAAGTAACATTGTTGATAAGGGAACTTATTTTTGACGTAAATTGTTTACTTTGTGTAAAAGTAAGTGATGGAACACGCGCGACCTCCCGTAGAATTAGTGCTCGAAGGCGGCCCCGCTGCTCGAGCAGACTCATGGCACAAGTAGCGGAAACAATTTGAGGTGTTTGTTAAAGCCTCGGGAGTGGCTAACGAGAAAAGTTCACTGCAGGCTAGTTTACTGGTTAACCTCATTGGATCGCCGGGTTACGAAATTTATTCGACCTTCACGTACATCAAGGACGAAAGTGAAGACGATATTAAGTGTTTGTTGAAAAAGTTTGATAACTATTTTGGGACAAAACCTAATGTCACGTTATCCCGGTTTAAGTTTTTTACGCGAGGCCAAGAGGAAGGCGAAAATATAGATTAATATGTTACTGCACTAAAATTGCTAAGTCAATCTTGTGAGTTTGGTAATCTAAATGAAAGCTTAATACGGGACAGAATTGTCTGTGGCATCATAAGTAACATTGTACGTGATCGGCTACTTCGTACGGATGATTTAACATTAGAAAAGGCGGTCCAGATATATCAAGTGGCAGAAATATCGAAGCAAGAAAGTTCATGCATCGAGAATGGTCCTGGCGGTAGTGAAATGCGAGTTGATGCTGTAAGGGATGCAAGCGGTCGCAGCTACGGTGGTGTTCGACGCAGCCGTGGAGTAAGGTCGCGCGGAGCGAGACGCAGCGCTCGTGGCCGCGGACCGGAGTTCGGTGCTGGGTTGGCGGCTTCGCGAACACGCTGCTTGTCATGTGGCAATGGTTGGTGCTCCACTGATGACCGGTGTCCGGCGCGGTATGCATTGTGTTATGTGTGTGATAAAAAAGGGCATTTTGCTAAAGTGTGTGTGTGCATAAATATACATTACGCGATAAGGTTTTAAACTTGAATGTGTGTGAGCCTGAAAACATGTCCGATGCCGAAATGTTCTATGTGGACATGATATTAAGCCAGGAAAAAAATGTAAGTTACCTAAAGAATGGAATGTTATTTTTCAATGTAATGGTAGACAAGTGCAATTTAAACTAGATACAGGTTCTATGTTAAATGTAATTTCGAAAAATGATTATTTAAACTTAGGCATGTCGATTCATAACCTAAAATATTTTAAAAAATGTGGTACAATCTTTTACTGGTAATAATTTACCTATTCTGGGCATTTACGAATTACCATTTATTTATAAAGGTAAACATTACATTTTACCATTTGTGGTAGCAGACTTAAACTGTCAAAATGTTCTGGGATTGGAAGGCTGTGTCATGTTAGGACTCGTATCCCGTGTTGACGGTATAAAAATACATAAATATTCTGATCTCTTCGAAGGACTGGGTACGTTACCTGGACAGTATTTGATTGTTGTAGATAAAAATGTACAGCCAGTGATTTGCCCTACTAGGAAAATACCACAGGGGATGAGAGACGAACTCTTAGAAGAGTTACGTAGGATGGAAAAATTAGGCGTTATCAGGAAAGTCACTCATCCTACGGAATGGGTTAACGCTATTGTGCTAGTAGCAAAAAAGAATGGTGATATTCGTGCGTGTTTGAACCCGAGACCGCTTAACCGCGCGGCGCGGCGCGCGCATTACTCGCTGCCCACGGTGAGCGAGCTGGCAGCGCGGCTGCGCGGTGCTACGTACTTCAGCGTGCTAGATGCGCGCTCTGGTTTTTGGATGGTTCAAATTGATCCTGCCAGCGCAGATCTTTGTACATTTGGAACACCGTTTGGTCGATACCAGTTTCTAAGGCTACCGTATGGAATAAATTGTGC